AAGTAGAAGTAGAAGTAGAAGCTTCATGATGATCGTCCTTCTTGTTAGACTTATTGATCTTAATCTTTCAGAGGACTAGCTTCTGAAAGTTTTCTCCTTCCGGTAACATATACTCTTTCATAATCCAGCTACTATCGCTTCCGGGAACAATAACACAAGTACCATCTCCACTCTTTGCTTCTTATTGTTGTTGCTTCTAGTGTAAGTTAGGGTTTGCTTTACCCCAATTGTCTTCCCTGTTTTCTTGTCCTTGATATCTGTTGTCGCGTTCGCCTTCCACTTTCCGCGGTCGATGCCACCATTGTCATCTCCTGTGATCTTTTTTTTTTTTTTGATAAAATGTAAATATTATTTAAAAGAGCATTTGAGATCATACATTGCATGACCTTATAACGTGGTCTCATGCGTTTAACGAATTAAAACATGAAAGCAAACAAAAACAGAGTAACAACTACCGTAATCTCATGGTTACGGCGTGAAATTACAATGGTAAGACTAACCAAAATCCTTGGAAGAAATGAATACGAGAGTAACATAATTTGGGAAATATACGGAGATCGTCAAAACACAGAGAGAGTTTGATGGAAGCCCCTTCCTCGGCAGCCCAATACACAAGATGAATCCTCAGTAGATAAAGTCCACTACAACCAATCTAACAACCTGAGAAAACAACTTGGACGAAACTACGATGAGCCAAAGAGCTAAGCTCCTCTCACTAACGCTACTATGACACATAGCAAGAGAATCCACAAAAACAATGGTTGTACTAACTCCTCCAACCAACAATGAAAGCGAGAAGGATAAATCCGGACAAATTCTCAGAAAAGCGACACCCTCTAATTTAATCCAAAAGTATTTGCAGATGATCAGAAAACCAATACCGGTAATGCAGCAATCCAATGCCCAAAACTAGAACATGACCAAACCTTGTCTTAGACTCAGTTAAGTCACANGATCCNTCAAGGANAGTTNTTAGTGGNTGGTCGGAAGCGACTCANGAATCACTAAACAAACTAAATGCAAAGGAGGAAGTCCAAAGCCAGACCACACAAAACCGGACAAGGTGAAGTGAAACTAAAACCACGATAGCCGCTAAAAGAGGAAGTCATCGAGTCAACAAGGTCCTCGCTGGAGAGCAAATAGCCGGTCCTCAAAGTCGTGGATGACCAGGTCCAAATACCCATAACAGAACAACCATTAAACACGCCTTCCAACTCCTCTGAAACAGACAGGCGAAGTAAGAGAATCAAACCCGACACTGAAAACACTCAACAAAGGAGAGCAATCGGTTGGCCACAACCAAAATAGAAACACTCTCATTCACCGACACTGGAAATCTCAAAGAGCCATTGCCCTAGGAGACAACAANGGTCTTCCGAGTGATGAGATATGCTTCTCCACCGGAGCTACAACCGTCCNAGAACAGAGTAACCCGAAGTAGAGGGAGCCAAACCACCGGAAGAAAACCGGAGCGCGGCGGATCTTCCAAAGATCTTCCACTTCGCCTTCTTACCACAACCGATCTTCTTCTCGGAGACTTGAGTTCTTGTCACAAAGTAGTACCACTCGTTCTTTTGGAAAAAAGGATCCACTGTATGGTCAAGCAACCATGGCTCCTTGTTGTAAACGTTCTTGTGCACAATGAAATCTCCACAATCTTCACTCTTAACTTGCGAATAAGATAATCATTGATGAGTTCGTGGTCATAAGGATCAAAGTGAATCCCTTCGTCTTCTTCATAGTACTCCGACATCTTCTCTCTCTTTCTTAGGGTTAGTAAAAAAACTTGTTGGAGGCTTTTGGTGAATTATGAGATATAACAATGGTTTTTAGAGGTGATACCATTAAGCAGTCTCAACTCAATTTTTAATATTAAAAAAGTGTTTGAGACTCACTAATTTTTTTTTAACTTTCTCTAGGTTCAACGGTGAGACTCATAGTGTCTAATTGAGAAACAACAGAAATTTTGATTTCAGAGATTTTTTTTTTGTTTTGCAAAGACCCAAATACGTCAAGTAAAGCACATGATCTTTAGCACCAGTACGATGACTCTTTGAATGTTTGCAGAAATTCTTCAATTGTTCCAGTGTACAATAACCCAATGTTTGTCCCAATAGCAAAAAAAAAAACAACCAATTAATCTTACTTTTCCGTTCAGCAATCACCGGTTTCACTGCTTTTTCACGGCCACAAAGCTCACATCTTGCCGGTTCTGGATTTGTCCATATCGCCGGAGCTCTTTCCCTCATAATCCCTTATATTTGTCCAGATCTTCCAAGGTTTGTATCCTCCCTCGAATATTCGTCGCCCATGGAAACGGTGCAAGATTAATCTTCTCGTTCTTGATCCGGTTTTCCAACTGTGATGATTTGGTCCAACTCCGAAGTCTAACCGGAGTTTGATTCCACGACGGTGGAGGAAGAGGAATGAAAGCTGATTGAGGGAAGTAATTACCCGGTTGATGAAATGGTGGCTGGATCTATTGTGCAGAAAATAAAATGGGATTTCAGAGTTTTTTTTTTTTTTGGTTAGGAGAAAATAAATGAGCAGTCCACTGGCATATCGACATGTGGCTTAGTGATACGTCTCAACCGAATCATTGCACTGATACGTCTCAGCCCAAAACTCACCCAATTAATTAGTTTTTAATACAAATAAGTTCATGTTAGGACAATTGGTTAGTTTTCAAATTATAAAACTTTTGTTGATTATCTATGCTAATTTTCCATATTTTTTCAAAGATTATCGTGTTATTAAATAATGTGAAGTGGCTCTGTGACTTATTTTTAAGTCAACCTGGGTTTTACCATGTCAATTTCACCTGATAATGTTTTGAC